TTTGAAAGTTTTATTGTCTTTAAAAAGGAAATAACTTGCTTTAACGCAAGTTACTGAGTATCCAACTTTCGAAAAAAAACTAAAATTCTTACCCACAATTCATCCAACGGGTATGGTTACTTTTCCAACATTTAATATGGTACTGAAATATCTTATGAGAGCCATGTATTGTATCATATACGAAAAACTCTAAAACGGATATATGAATACAATATTTTATTGCCAGAATTCCTAATGGGATGACGTAAAGAACTAAATTTACATTTCAATTACTCTTTAAATCAAAAAACGTTTTTTTACGGCAAACAACGCATGTGATTTGTTCTTGTATTGTTACAATTTCAGATATATATTGACGTTTGTCAAGACAAATGATAGTAATAACATTTTTAAGTCAAAACAAATAAGGAGGCAATTTATCAAACAAACAAAAACGCCGGTTATCATATATTTGAAGATCTTTTGTTCTTAATTCGAAAATCTGTTTTGTATTATCAATTAATGCGAACATGTTTTTTTTTTTATTATTAAAATTCAAGCATAGTTTGAACAGCAATCTGATAAACAACAATATATTCACCCTATAACGTCTACTGCGTCTGCGTAATCAAAGTCTCAACTAAAAAATCAAGAGTTTCGAATCTAAAAATAAATACGTTCATATTTTGTCATAACTTTACGGATACATGGACGTTCTTGGTTCGTTCTTTTTTATTATTTTGAATATGTATCTAGCAAATTGGGGTTTAAAAAATACTCGTTTTATGTTCATCCAATTTGGACGTTTTACATATTGTTTTGCGAGGAACATTTTATTTTTGTTAATTGAATCAACTTTTGAATTTATTAAATATATAATACTATCGAATCGCATCAATAAATCAAGGTTATCGAATATTTGAATCTACATACAAATTGTACTTTTTAAGCCTTGTTTTGCGAGACAACGCCGTTTTGTTTTCTTTTTTTTATATATTTAAATAAATATCTAATAAATCATAAGACGGAATGATGCCTGTCATCTATCAGACATTCTGTTTCCTTTTAGGAAGACATCAAATATAGTAAATATGTGCTAATTGACCCAAATACAGTTCTGAGTCATACAATTTTTTATATAATTGATTGATAAAAAATGAAAAACATTGACAACCATGAATTTTTAAAACATTTGTTTAATATTTTTGGTTTCTAATTTGTCAGACCTCAACCCAGTTAAATTAGCGATAATATTAACACATTCGTAATATTGCGAACACATTGAATGGTAATCAAGTCGATGGTGCGCCATTTCTTATATTCGGTTCATAAACAAATTATAAATACCTAGTTTTTGGTGACGTTTTTAGGACTTTGTATTAATGCTTTTCAGGCATCAAGTTAACACAAAATATGCAATTTATCTCATTATTGTAAGACTATATTATATTTTAATTTAAAATTTTTGCAGAAAGAGATCATCTGCTTTGGCCCTACATGAATCTTAGGAGTTGTAAAACTGTCAAAAATTAATAACATTCATGTACAAATCATCAAATTGTGTATAAGCATAGTGCTCCTGTTTCTATGATAATTATGCCCCCCAAAAATAATATTTTTAAATCGGCTTATTATAAAAAACGTTTTTCATATAATCATTTTATTGGCTTATATTCTGATCTTGTCTATGCATTATTGCTTATAGTTTATCTGTTAATATCATAATCAATAATTTCCTATGCCACTTCATAGAACAAACGTCAGCTTGAAAAATATAGCGATTTTCTTTTTTATTGAAAGTTGTCTATAATTAAAAGCACATAAAAGGAACAGACATGAATGAATGTAGGAGCACTTAAATTGGCATTACATTTAACTAAGTGAATTGTGAAAAAGAACCATTTTAATGATGTTATTGAATTGATGTTAGGAATTTCACATTAAAAGACACATTATGCCTCAGAACGAAACAATTTTTACTTCTTTAAGATAGTCAAACATAAATTTAATAACTTTAAAATAATGGGTTTAGGGCATGTTAGATGATTGTTTCCTGACGAAAGTAGCGTTTAATGCGTAATTATTTGCCGTACATGTAGCAAAATGTATTGTATTTTCACTTCCATAAAAAATACTCGATAACTATAATAGAGCAATGGTGAAAAGTTACAGATGCAAAAACGAATGGTTAAGTTAATTAGCCAATGAGTAACTTTTCAACCTATAAAAGTACACCACAAAATGAAAGGCTTTTGGAAATAGAAATAGTTCAGCATTTCTAAGACATAATGGGCCTTTTGCTATATAAGACATTACCCACAGCATACAATTTTGAATCATTATACAATCTGGAAATGGAAGGTCTCTCGAGAGAAAACTATTACAATAGTTGTTGTTTGCAGACTCTGTTACTGAGTCTGTTAATGGGAAATTATATATGCTGCACATCTCTCACGCCCTATTGCACCGACTTTAGTCGTATTCAAAAGCGGTATTCAATCTTCATCATTACAAAAACTGAACTCATCGGTTAAAATACCCCTTTCGGTTCTATTAGATTCTTTTTCATAAGTGTACGATGACATATTATAAACATTGTAAGAAAATACATTGTTTTTCATTTTATAACAGCGGACTGCATTTTAACGTTTTTTCAGTGTTCTGAATATAATTTGAAAATGATATACGCAAACAATGACTATATGATTAATGAGACGAATCATAACATAATTTTCATTTGAAATATTTTTTTCCTTAATTTATTCTTTTTCATGAGGATTGGTCAATTCCAGTGAATTTTTAGTAAAGCTTTATTTATTTCTAATTGGTACGAGTTTAATTTTGATTGATGTAGTCGCCTCTTAACAATGAAATGTAAAATTCACAATTGACAATATTGTATTCAACACTGCTTCTTCGAAAGATATTGAATGCTATTCAGCAAAAAAATAACATATGCGAACTAATAGTAATATTCTTAGATTGGCAATTATATACCATTCAATGTTTAAAGGGTAGTTTGACAATGAATCATGAAATTAAATTTCATTTATTACGCTGCTGATGTTTTGATTGAGCATCACTTACTATACCATTTAATTGTTTACCTTATACAATATTTAATTTAAAGTGTAATTCAGTGTAGGCGTAGAAAATGAAGCGGATATATTTAAAAAGTTTTTAAGGAATCTTAACTAAAGTATTGTAAAGAGATGTATACTATGTGAAGATCTGTATTAAACGGTGTTTATATTATATAAAACTCGTATTATTGACTTGTGTTATTTTCACTTAAAACATATGTCACATTCTCACCAAGCGGGAAATTCGCGGGAACAGAAAAAGAATAACTTTGAAATTACCAGGCAAGATTGTACGAAACGTCAGTCGATAACTAACTTTACGATATATTAGTTGAATTAAGATATATTAAAAACGAGCAAGTGAAGTTTAGTAGAACAAAACGCCTGATCGACTTGATCCAAACTCTAAGTCCATTCAATGGTACGCTACTGTCTCAAATGTTCGCTTTGTAAATTTGTGACACTGAAAACCTGTCAAATGTTCTGACCTACTTGTACAAGAGATTTCTTGAAATCTACAAGACTTCTACTTCGGCCAATCTGATTTAACTTCAATCTTGTCGGATTTGACAATAGTATGTTGTTGCTCTTTTTGATAAGCCAAAAAGTAATTTTTAAAAATAAATTCACTGATAAAAAATGTACGTTTTGCTAATTAAAATCAGACAATTAATAAACTGAAAGTTTAACATGGTTATCTATTCATCAAAATAAAAGTATTGTCGTGTTCTGAATTTTCAGATGATCATTGTAAACGTTTCGTTACTTTCTAATCGATTATTGCATGCTAAACAACAAGTATTAAATGATGTACGCTATTATCTGAAAAGAAATGTCAGCTATTAAATTAAACTGTTTCGGCTATTAACTTGATCCGATTAGAATCATCTTTTTTATGTCAGGCGTTAACATTCACGACTCATTAACAGCAAATCGTGTAAAATATACAGCAACTATAATAAATGAATGATGAAAAAATAGTAAATATTAAATGTTCTTAACTTTTGTTAGTACGTGAACTATCCGACGTTTATTATGTTCTTAAAGTAAGTAATCTAAAAATTAAATCCATAATTTGGATACATTGTGTCTGTGAGTTTCATACATACATATTTACGTAGAATTACACTACACTTCTTGATACAAAAGTGCTAGTTTGTGTTCAAATTAATTGCAGTGTGTTCAAATTAATTGCAGTATACCAAAATAATTTATTTAGTTATGAACATAAATTTCGTTGAATTTATATCAAATAACATAATCTACTTATGAAATTGATTTTCAAACTTGTTGGACAAAAGATAACACAATAGATATACACAACCATCATAATTTTATTTTCAGAACCATTTAACATATCTCGAGTTTCTCAATGTCATGTATATCACATAGCGCATATAACTATTAATTACATCACTTTCTTAACAGTCAATAGATGCTTTAGGTATTTTAAACGTACACTAACGGACGCATTCTAGTCTACTGACAAATTCGACGCATTGGAGATCATCTCAATTTGTTTAGTGCAGCCCAAATTGTAGTCAGAGTATAACAGTACTAGATTTTCAGTTTCCTTAAAGGCTGCAATGCTAATTGAAATGTTTTGTGTTTAATCATCTTCAATCATTTTCTAGAGCATTTTGTTGACTAGAATTTTACTCCTGATTATAGTACATCGATAATGGAACATAGAAATGTTCAAATGGTATGAAAAAAGTGCTTTTATTGTGTTAAGCTACCCTTTTGATAACAGTATCATTGACGCCACACAGAAATAAACATTTTACTTCAATTTTAGTTGATTATTTTTTTAGAATAACTAGACATTTAATGCAATATATTACGTTTGTCAAATAATAGTTTTACTTAATCTTAGATTATTATACATTATTTTGTCAGTGTAAAATATTGAGAAAATAACGTTTATGTAGATCTTACCTTTGATCACAAACTATTCCGAAGCATCTACATTTTTGTAACTATTACAACATCCTGGAATGAGAAATATTGTTATTTTTGATAAATGCTTAATCTTACATTAAGCCTTTGCAATACGAAATCCAAGTGTTATTTTATACCAATTGTTGTCCCATTACATTATCTAATAATCTAAAAAATATACTATATGACAAAGTATGATGCAATAAGATTACAATCTTAGAGTTTACATAAACACACAATTTTGTTCATTTGAATAAATCACTTAAATCAATTCTAGTGTTCGATAAAACAAATCACAAAGTGTCCAAAGCAAGCGTTTCATTTGTTTATATAGAGTACGTTGTGCTGCGTAAGGAATGCCTATAAAGCTAACACCGTTTAAAGATAATACTGCACTGGTAGTCATAAACAGATTGTTCTTCACACAAATTACGCAAAATAAACATTGAAATAAGATATAAAGCTTGACGTTGATTGTAACATTTTCAGAAGCACAAGTATGTAATTGTTCTACTAACATTGGTATAAAATCGTTTAAAATCAATTTGAAACTTTGAAAATAGTCCACTCTTTCTAAAGAAAAGAATCATTTTCTATTTCCATTCTACCGTTTAAAGATTTTTTCTTCTTTACTGAGTAATCCGTTTACTGATATATTTAAACATTAAATTGTAGTTAAGTACCAATAGGGATCCAATAATTGCAATGTAAGTATCGAGGTTGATAGAAAGAAAAACACTAACGAAATAGCAACGGAATTGAATAAGATTGTGGTGATTTAAATCACAGCCAGCATTTGGAGAATTTACACGATGGTAACGACTTTGTAAATGGTAAATCTTATTTCTAAAAACCATTTAGATTAACAAAATTGATTAAACAATTCGTTTCCTAATTGAAGTTGTTTAATCTGTATACAAACGGTAAAGAGCTCCGATGGCCAACGTTTATAAAATACTAGTTGCCTTTATAAGTTGTTTTTTCTCTCGTTGATTACCGAGAAAACAATATGTTTATATTTACATGCTGTCTTATCACTTGCATGGACACAATATCTAACTAAACAAATATGTTATGTTACTTATTTATTAAAAAAGATGAAAGCTGACCAAACAGGTAATAATTAAGGATTTAATATCCTAAGAGTTCGTCTTTCAGGATTGTACTTAAATACCGCGGAAATCAGAATAATAGAATCATGGGTATATGTACAAGCATTTACGTATAACTGCGAAACACGCCTTTAATTCATACTCATCTCGGAGTTAAAACTAAAATTTAATTTTAGCTGTATTCCACCGCATATATAAATGACACTTCGCAGCAAATTAAACGACCCAGCTGACCACGGTGGCTTTGTTACATGTAACATAAGGCTTTATATCTATGCATATATATTATCTTTTATGTCTGCATCATATAGACCTGCTGATAAAAAGGAAAGGTAGATCGTAGGATAACGTTTGTCTGATGAAATAAAAAATCTTTTTCTTTTATTTTTAAAGCAAGCACTTATCTAAATTGTCTATTATAAGACCACAGGAAAATATTGTGATATGAATCTAAAGTTTGATATTATATCATACATTACAAATTGATTGGGAATAAAGCGCTTAGTTACGTTTGTATGTATATGCCTTTATTCAATGAATTTAAACATTTTTCTAATATCGTTTTAGGCAATCATAGGCAAGATAGTAAATTTTAATAACACATTTCCATGTAGCCAATCATATAACACAGAAACTATAAAGTGTTAAAACAATTTTCAAGGGTGTTCTATAGCTCCAAAACGGTTGTGGAAAATTCTTCAATTGGCCTGTGAGTGTTGTCAAATCAAAATTGTCTACACACAAAAAATAATTATAGAAATTGAGCTCGCTCGTACTTACTAAATAACATGATGCATCATGTCCTTGATTATCAAATAAACATTCAGAATTTGTATCATTTTATTACCATGAATGTAAATGATATTGTGCTAACATTCTTTGAACAGTTATATACGTGACGTTGTCATGGTTGTTAGGAATTGTCAGACATGATTAAAAGTTCAAGCATGCAGTTGCACAGCAAAGTAATGATTTAATCAAGGTATCTCAGATCACGTTCAAGGAAAACATGGTACAATTCAAATTGAAGGTCCCAGATTACATGGACACGTGAACAATGTTCTGTGTTAGTGGCTTCAGTTATGTGGTAAATGACTGGTAGTTTGTAAGTTTACATGTAATCTTACATTGACGTAAACAGAATATATATAATACATATTTATGTTTTGTCCAAGAAAACAAAGAAAGCGTGATAAGGACATTGATTGTTTTCTTCAATTTATTCGAATAAGAACATGTAATGACATCATAGAAAATTAATGTTAAAATTGCAAATTCATCTTGCATTATTGATATATTTAAACACGTTTTTTATAACATCAAATATGTTCAATGGTATCATTCCTTTGCTCATAAAGACATTATCTAAGAAATCATTACAATTTTCAGTTTAAATCACTGTTTAAACTCTTTAGAAAATTAAAATTACACAATTAATAAAGCAAATAATGCATTCATCAATATATTAAATGTAATGTGTCTTAATCTAATGTTCATTGCACACAATTGTCTCAATCTTAAAACATTAGTAACATATGTCTAAGCAAAAAATGAACTATTCGTTTTTTTGAAGTTTTGCTAACGAATTATATATAAATTTAATTAAACGTGTAAATAAATTTCGAAACCATGCTTTGAAAAAAGAAACATAAATAGAATAGAAAATAAAGTTATTCTGATTGGTGGCTGTTATGTTATTTTGTATCTCTTTTGTAGCATTTAAATCTCAATTACAGAATATTCGATTTACAGATATTTTTCTTTTAATCTACAATGCAACTTCATCTGCACAATTATCATCTGACATATATAGCTAGTTCATTTCATATTATTTAAGAATAATAAGTGATTATAACCCCGATAATTTAGGAATACAGCTCTATTCCAAATGGTGTTAGATTTGAACTACACGTGAAAATTGACGAGTTCATTATAAAATGTTTCCACACAGATATAAATTTATTGTAGAATTAACATTTCTTGTTTTCAAGGTGTTTTCATTACATGTGGAAACAATGCTAAAAATTACAGGGGAAATAGATTTTGAGTAAGTCATTTCATTTTGTAATAAAAAAGTATTGTTTCTCTAATCGCTGTTTATACTAGCAGTTGTCAATAAGCTTGGTTTGTACTAATATATGTCATTGAATAAAACGTTTTTATAATTAAGGAAGGTGCAAGAAACAAAATGTATGGACTCTTTATTATATTATGCTATTTAACTAAATTTAATTTACATTAATATTGTTTAATTTGCAAAGCACCAACTACAAAATACTAACATAAAGTTATATTCAGTATTTGCGTTTTGCTGAGTAATCATATTCTTAAAATAAACAATAAAAGTTGCATTATTGTTAGGTATAAAATAAGGAATTTACTAATGATGTGTAACTAGCCTTGGCATGAACCGTAAAGGCTGTAAAACTGTCAGTGTATTAATGATACACAGAACTTTACACAATACCTGAATGTGTTTATTGTCTACTTCAAAATGCATAAATATAAGTAGATGTTAACATTATATACAGAGTAATTTACATAATTATAAGCAAAAGAAGACTGTCTGTGTGAAGGCAATGACTACTGTTTAATGACTTAACGGTGCAAATGATGTTTTGTCTCACTTAAAACACAACTTATTTCCTCTATTTATTGATTAAAAGGCTGACTTTATTTAACACAGACACTGTTAAAAAACGCACGTGCAAAACAAATATTCAACCTGTAAAACTATAATTTTATCGAAGAGGCACACATCTGAAAATAGGTTAAGCACTCTGAAATAAAATGTCGAATTGTTTTAAAAGGATAAAATCCTGTGATTAAAGAAAAATCATGAAGAAAAAAACGATGATCTGTAAATCATAGATATTGTGTCTCTTATTTTAATTGAGATCTTATATAAACAAGGTTGCCCATATTTCTTATAAACTTAAAACGCAGACATGATTTAAACAAGTTCACAAAGAAAATATCTTCTAATCAATCAAATGATATCAAATACAATTCCAATATTGATTACGATCAACATCTGGTAATTTTGATAGCGTAGATATGAGTACTCATATGTGTTTTAATCATTAAATATCAGATATAGTTGTAGTACAACGTAACATAAATAACGTAGTTGATTATGCAAAATATAAAAACAATTAACACTCAGATTGGATGTGAAAATATGCTATTAAATGTCTGTAAAATACCTCACAGTAAAAATCAAATTGTTATACGACGACAAGTAACATATGGTTAGTTTTAGACTGAAGACATAACATTTAGATAGTAAATTGATAATTGGAAAAAAAATGCATGCTGAACAGAAGAAAGCATAGCATAAAAACTGCGTGATGTACTTGATGAACGATTATTCAAATCGGAGGTATTTTAATGTGTTATTACTCTCTTGAAATAGTTTTACTCGTTGTTAGCATTTGACCCTTACATAAAAGTAATAAATCTACCAAGTCACAGTTTTGTGCAACTACAAAATATTACCTTGAATATAAAATACGTATCATTTAAAAACTTTTGCTATGGATATTCGAATAATTTACTCTATAAAATCTTTAAGAAATTTAAGTGATTATGGATAGCGAAGCATTGTATTTAAATGTGCGAAAAGTGAATATAAAAAGAAAATAATTTAGAATAATTTACGCAGCTTTTCTTTGATTACTTTTGATGGCTGTTTGAACTTAACTGTGAGAACACAAGATGTAAAATACAACTGGCAATCAGATAATCAGTGTTGTAATGAAATTTAAAATCTTAGCGTAAACAATTACTTACAATTTTCAAACATCAATCTACCAAAAACGCTTACCGCTCAAAGGCAAATTCTATTGATAATTTGATAAACACTTTAAATCAATGCTATAATGTCCGGAAATTACATTACAAGTGTTTATAGCTTTGCAAGATTAATGGTAAATTGAA